TTCAGAAGAAGCATATTTTCCTTAGCACTCCGGTACAACATTTATACCCAACGCGTTATAAAAATCATGTGATCACCGTACCTAGAATGGAAAAGACTCTAGGGCAAAGAAGTTTTGTATATCTCGGTCCTAAAATATTTAACGCACTTCCGGTGGAATTTAAAAACCTAAATTCTATAGCTCTTTATAGGTCTAAATTACAACAATGGATATTAACTAAGCAACGACAAAAATTTCATGACTTTATTAATTTAAATATAACTAAAATCTAAAAAGAACTTACCTGCAATTATCCAATTATTTATGTATACAATAATTATTTATAAACTATTCAATGCTGTAGCTAATTTGTGACTATAATAAATAAAAGAAAAAATAGTAAAAAAAGAAATACTATGTAGAATATAATTCTCAAAGTATCCCACGCACAAGGTTCGCCTTTAGTGGAACCACTATTTATTCACATAGACAATTTTTTTTCTGTTAAATATAAGTTAAAATTGTAATTCGATTTTTAAAGTGAATAAATTTATTATTATTATTATTATTATTATTATAAAATAAGTTAAGAGCCATAGATTTCCGTTTAAACTGTATTTCCAGACTGACTTCTAATTCAATTATTTATTTGCCTCCCCGCGTATATATCAAAGTATCAAAGAAAGCTTAACAATATTATTAAGTAGGGTAGCTTTAATCTATATAAAATAAAACAATAACCGGCACTCGTCAGCATGATGGTAATAATAAAAAAGAAAGCAAATGGCCGATCTATTGGCTTTCCAACTAAATTCAGCAAAGTGTTAAAATATAAGTTGAAAGAAACATTACCTGACAATTATCCCAACGTTAACACACAATAAGCACATATAAAAGACAAAATAATTACGGAAATCTACTCATAGTAGATAATTTGTCGGCACACACTACCACATTGAAGTTTTTGAACTCGATAAACCAAAAGGCCGGTTGAATCAACATCAGTCGGTTTTATATCAGCGTGGTTGACGAAAGAAACCCTAGGCACGTGCGCAAACGGTACTTTGCAAATCTCGGGAAGCAAGCGGTATTCGTTTTCACGTAACAGGCTGTTTCGTCCAAATTTTGGTGCGTCTGAATTTTAAATGGACGTAAAAAATGATTATAAGAATTTTTCTAACACATGTTTGGATTAAATCTGTTCTGCTACAATTCTTGTGCTTGTATTATCATTTTCGATGACGGATTGAAGAACATTTTGTTGATTAGTTACGTCATCTGTTGTGAGCTTATTTATGGTACGCTTTTCTTAAGCAACAGTACCAGTTTCACGAAATCTTCTTAAAAGTCTTTCAAAAACGTCTTTCCTTGGACAATCTTGCATAAGCTCTAGACGCTAATAAACAGTTTTCCAAACATTCCCCAAGTATTAAAATCATATTTATTCTCTCTTCCCTCGAATACACCTTCATGTCGGGTCGGTGGCGTAGCGGTCTCACGCGCTAATATTCATTTATAGGTAAGTTTGTGGTCAGAGGGGCTTCGAATCCTACATCAGACCATGTGGATTTTTAATTAAATTGCATGGTTCGTTATAGGATTTGATTTATGCCGTATTAATAGAAATTCAATTTCTGTTGATATGACATGCAGATTATAAAATCGGCCAATAATAATATCCATCCCTTCCCCTACACAAATCGTTTAATCGACTTCAGGGGTTGAAATTCACTCGTAAGGGGGTGAATTAGGGAGAGTTTTTTTATTATTATTATTATTAATATTATTATATATTATTGTTTATTAACCGCAACTATCAATTCACCAAAAATAAAATCATACGTTTAAAGTAATTAAAACAAAAGAATTATTTTGACGTTTTGACAATTATGGCCTACTCTTCGCGTATACATTTTTCCAAAGGCAACTTAATTAAGTGCGGCATTAAATTTATTAATGCAAGGAAACTACTGCTAATAAGTAAAAAATTAGTAAGACCTTTGGGTAATTTAAAAAAATAAATAAATAAACTTACTCTTGATCATAATAAATTTTCCAATTTCCACCGAAAACAACTGAGGTTATGAAAATGAGTTATTTGTAATACCCTTGAGGACTGTTAGTCTGAAGATTTTAAATAATGTAAATAAACATTTAAAAGATATTTTTTAATGTAGGTATTAATTTAGAACAAATTTTTAATTTACTAGAAAATTTCGGTACAAATAAATATGTTTTAATATGAAATTATTAGTAGATGATTGAAATTTATTGATGCAAAGAAACTATTGATAATCTGTCTAAAAATAGTAAATATGGATATAGGGAACCTTATAAAACTTTTAAAGCAAATAAAATTTCCTTCATATTGGTACTATAAAATACAGGTTGCGCCATTTAAATTAACGAAGAATTTAAATAAAACATTTTACTGTAATAAAACTTCTAATTGCAAACACCCCGTATATTTTTTGAATATTTTAATGATTCTGATAAAAAGTTAGATTTTGTAAGTAACTGCCAAAAATTCGTTAATTAATTTTATTTTTTAATAAAGAGTGTCTAATTAATTAATTTCAACAATTTTCAAAAAATGTCAAATAAATTGGCAATTATCAAAGATAGGTATAGGAAATCTTCATTAAACTAAGATTATTTTTAAAAGTTGAACTTAAATTAAAAGAAAATATAGGGTATACCATTTAAAAATATAACTATATTGGTATTCTGGTTTGGGAGACCCTGTATATATGAAACTAATTTTAATTTGTAGCCGCCGTTGAGTTGTATATTTGTGCCAAAGGAATTTTTAATATCGTTTGCAGTGTATCATCCAGGCTTCGTCCCTTTGAATGTGGCGCACCCTGTATTATAGAGAAGTATATCCTCAAAGTGATAACATAAAATAATCATTTCCGTATTAGATCTTTAAATGATAACACAAGTAGACATTCCCAAGTTATTTTAATAAAATCATGTGAGCTATGAAATGTCAACATTCTGTCATTTTAATTTAATAAATAATGTGTATGGGCATTAAAGCACCGTATCAACGAACATGACAAGGATAGTGGAAATAAATATTATATAATAATAAAAAAAAAGGATTTTAAACATTTTAATAATTATAACGATACACCCCAACTTTGTACTAAAGAACGGTTTTTGATGTTTAAAAAAAATTATAATTTACAAATTAAAAAAAAACTACTGAAGAAGGCACTGATCAGTGCCGAAAGCTTTACTCACACATACACGAGTTTCATTTCTCACTAGCACCTAAAAACCCAAGAACTACAAAGAAAAAAATATGAATTAAGGTGCAAGAAAAAAAAAACTTTAGAAAAGGAGACTTCCTTTTGTAAAGTACCAATATAATGTATAATGTCATGTAATAGTGAGACCAATCATCACTTCTTACGGGGCTATAGCCTGGAGTAACCGAACTAGTTTAGCTACTACGAGAGCTATTACCTCAAAGTACAAAGACTAGCCTGTGTTTGCATTACTGGTGCAATGAGAACCTGTCCTACGGCCGCAATGGAGGTGATCTTAAACCTCGCCCCTCTACATTTGATGATAGAGAATGTGGCAAAAAGGACACGATATAGAATAATCAGGAACGGAGTAATCAGACGAAAGTCTACTTGCTTCAGGACTAAAGATACCTGGGACATGCCCCAAGATGAAATGCTAAAGAAGTACAGTTTTGTGAAAAACTTCAAAACCACAGAGCTGGGCTGCAAGAAAGAATGGAGCCAAGAATCCATCGCGCTTGCAACCGAAAGACGTGCTATACGTGGTATACGGACGGTTCTAAAACCATAGAAGGAACTGGAATAGGAGTGTATGGACCAAGAACCAAGCACTACGAAAGCTTGGGAAAATACCCAAGCATCTTCCAGGCGGAAATTCACGCCATCGAGAAGTGTATCCAGTTCAACATCGAGAGAAACTATCATAATGTCCGATAGTCAAGCAGCCATCAAAGCGCTGATCTCTTACGTAATCAGCTCAAAAATGGTCTGGAGATGCCTAGAACAATGAATGAGCTAGGCGAGAAAAATAGAGTTACTCTCACTTGAGTCCCGGGACATAACGGGGTACAGGATAACGAGATTGCAGATAGTCTTGCAAGGAAAGGGACTCGAACACCCTTTGTAGGACCTGAGCCGTTCTGCGGTATCAGCAGTAACATAATATTAGGAGAGATTAAAAAAGAATTAGACAGTAGAAGAACCGATAATTGGAACAATATCTTGGGGCTGAGACAGGCGAAGATACTTCTGGGTGAATGTAACCATAAAAGATCGGAAGCCTGCGTCTGCCTGAGCAAGAACAGGCTACGTATTGTAACAGAGATACTTACCGGGCATTGCCGACTAAAAGGACACCTAAGTAAACTGCGAGCAGTAGAGGATAGTGAGTGCAGATTCTGTGAGGGGGAGGACGAAACCTCCATTCACATCCTAACTGAATGTGTAGCACTACAGAATCCGAAGGGCACTATATCTAGGAGTATATCAAATAGAAGAGGGAGATTTACCTAACTTGAAGCAACTTCAAATCCTACACTTCCTTGAGAAAATAGGATTGGAAGGGTCGTTATAGGCATTGAGACATTTCCTTGGTGCATTGGCGACAGAAGGGGACACAATAAATATTTTAGGTCGCAGTGTATTAACACCCCATTCCCAACATAATGTCATGTATAATGTCAACGTGTATTTTTTGAGATTGACAGAAAATTGCTGCCATTCCCAGGATTCATTGTAATAAGGTATTGAACACCCTGTGTAAATGTAGGTAATAACTTCTGAATATTTTAATTCAACACTCAAGTGGTGATTTCTATAACTTTTTCCACCTTGCATCTATATCTGTAATAGGTACCCACCAAACACTGCACATTTCTATACCGTAGATTATAAAAACTTTCTGCAACGATTTTACACTATATAATGCACTCTTGTTTGAGACATACTGTACATGAGTATTGATTGTTAAATGCATGTTTTCAGCTCCAGTGGCTCCTATGATTATCCCAGAAGAATGTAATGCTGAAAATAATTCTGTTACAGTAGCTTGGCAACCTCCTAGCCTCAGTCATGTCGAAGGATATGTTCTGGAATTAGACGATGGCAATGGCGGCGATTTCAGGGTAAGTAAAAAAACGAGTTGGCATCGACTGTTTAAAAACAAATCACGCGGGTCAAATCGGGTCAACTTGCCGGCCGTTACTCCTGATTCTCGTTTATTTTGTATAAAATAAATTTTTCTTAATATTTCTGTCAATATTGAATCGCTTCACGTTTTCGATTTCGAAATTTTGTAAACATTGCGTTTTAACATATATCGTATAAATTAGCGTGTGTCATTTCAGAGGTTTCCCGGGCACTGTTAGTCCATCGAGATCGACAATAAACTAAAAATATTCTCTAAAAATAGGTAGTCAAGGTTCCTTCTTGTTGGATCTCCTCGGGCGTATGCTGTGCCAATTTTTGTCACATGTGTTATTTTATTAATAAGCTACGCACTATCAGAACTCCGGAAACATGGCTAACAAAAGGAAAATCTTGGCGGCACGCGTCACGCACTGTTATAAATAAATATTAATAATTTTAGGAATGTCCTATATTTTCATTTGGATGTTAAAAGGTTTATGCATTTTTTATGAAGATATATTTATAGTGTAGATAGCTTTTGAGAGTTCAGCTTTAAAGTATTATACAGGGTGTAACTAAATAAGTGTAAAAAATTTAAGGGGGTGATTCCTCATCGAAAAAAAGATAGGATCTTTCATATAAAGAAACTTCATTGGAGCATCCCTTGTTAAGATACAGCCCCTTAAAGGGGGTACATAAAATTTGTTTAACAATTTTTTTCACAAGCACTAAACAAGTTACAATATTAAAATTAACCTGTCATTTTCTACTACCAAAAAGACACTTAGCCAGTAATTTATTTGGTTTACCCCATGGTTGTAAGGAGTGGAAAACGCAACCCCTAAAATTTCGTTCCAACGTAACTTTTTGTCTTATTATTTGTTTACCATTTATTTCCGATAGCCTGTTTCATTCTAAACAAAAAATGTCTCTTGAATTTTTTGCCCAAAATGCGTGTTTCTCTTCTGCTTTACAGCACATGGACCAATAAAAATACATTGTTTTAAAATATTAACCAATAAGAACGCGCAATGCATAATTAACGTGGACTCGAGTTGTTACAGTCAACTTTGACTAGTCACTTGTGCCCAACTCGGTACTTTTTATGCGGTGCCTTTTATATTTTTTAATATTGGCTAAGATAATATATACAGTGTGTTCATAAAAGTTCATGGAAACGCTCCATTATCTTACGAATTAACTAATTAAACAATACCTTTACTTCAAAATTATGTGAAACGTGAGAAATACGTTGATTCTTAACAACAACTTTTATTTTTATCAACAAATCCTTTTCACAAGGGTCTGATAGTGTCAACCAACCCCTTGAAGAGTTTTCTGAATATTTCAGGTTAATATCGTTTTTTGTTTTTTTTTAAATATTTCAACTCTCCTTAACTCCCCATTTTTATTCAGATTTTTTTCAGATTCAATAGGCTTCTTTCCCTTGATGAACTTGATTTTACTGAGGATTTCAGGTTTGATATCGTATTTGTTTCTGAGTTAGGATTTTTGTTAATATTTCAACTCCTCCTACCTCCCTCCCCCCCATTTTATTCAGATTTTTTTTCAGATTCAATAGGCTTCATCCCTTTATAGAGCTTATTTTTTCCTGAAGATTTCGAGTTGCTATCGTTGTTACTACATCCCTAAGTAATATAACTTGCCCTATTTGATTTTAATAAAGTAGATATTACTAGTTTTTTATTTACGCGTAAACACAACAAATCTCTGGCTTCTTTTTTTGTGTACCTTCTTCGCTGCGATAGATATTTAAAACTTTTTCTGTAATAAACATAATTATTAATGAGGAAATAAATTCAATTTCTAAAATTTGACTAATTTAAAATGAAAAACAAAGGAAAGGAGAAAATCTCAAAGAAAACTGCCGCCATTTCTGGTTTAAATGTAAGAACTCGCGGTTGTCGGGATTTGGATTGTAATTTTCAGGTCCCGGCTGCCGCGACCTGATCCACTGCCACTGTAAATGTCTAAACTAATTAACCATAACTCTCTGTAGCAGAAAAGGGAAGTCTGTAACGTTCACTTTGGTTTATATCCACTGATGTTATTTGAACGATCCTTAGTAACAGGCAAGCAATGTTTTGTGCTGGTGAAATATGCTATGCAACTTACAGAACTTACTACTAACAGACAACGAACTTACGGCAGTCTCTCTTGTGCAGAAATATTGTCTTTGGCTTATTATTTTCCTTCCGACTCTCTAACAGTAGAAGTAGATGGGGTTTATAGTTTCCTTCAATACGACCACATCAACGGGGTCTCAATTCAAAGATACTACCACAATATAAGGCGAATTCTTGGTTGATGGCAACAATTTAAGTTTGCATGACATTTTTCGTCTCAGACCTAACTTGCTAAATTTCTTTTGCATTATAGATACAGGATGATATTTAAATTGTGTCGTTTCAAACATATTGTCTGGTTGCTAAGGACTTTCAGATGTTTTCATAGCTTGCTTGAGGTTTGGCAATATACTCGTACAAACTAATGGAGTAATTGTCAGCAGGGCCGACCAGAGGGGGGTGGGGGCAGCCGGGACTAATTCCCGGGGCTCTGGCTCAAATGGGGACCCGGTAGCGGTGGTGTTTGTTACTTTCAGAAGTTCGACATAAGAGGGGGGAAGTTCTTAGTTGATGACCTTTTTTTTAAGAGAAATTCAAGTAGAGGAGAAGAAATTTTTGCTTGAGGACTTTTTTTTTAGAAAAATTCAAGTAGAAGAGAAGAAATTTTAGCTTGAGGACTTTTTTTAGAGAAATTCAAGTAGAGGAGGAGCAATTTTTGCTTCAAGACCTTTTGTTATTTAATTTTTTATAAAATTGTGACGGGGCCCGATCTGGAGGAATGTCCTGGGGCCCGGTCTGACTCTCGGCGGCCCTGAACAATAAAATAAATTATATCTTGTAAGGTAGTAGTAGTAAAAATTCATAAATAAAAAAAAATAAACTAAAATAAAAAATCGACCTATTCCAGCTTTACCTCTGAACATAATTAACTTATAAAATAATGGGTCGTTTCCACACTTTAGGAACGCACTGTATTATGGCTACTTGTCTTTAAAGGTCCTCTCTATATCGATTTCTTCAACTATACCCAGCTAGTAAGAATAAAAAATGGTTTAAAAAATAAAAAATCAACATCCTACGATTCAAATTCAATTATTAGAACTTTTTTTACGTTATCTTTTAATTGAAAAACAAATATTTATTTTACAACACATTGAATCATTATTTATGATCGGCATATATTTTGAAAGGCTAATTTTACGATAAACCTTGTAAAAGCAATTACTCATTTTATTGACAAACTAAAATGTTTAACTACTTCCTTTTTGTAAGATATAATGGCATTTTATGAATTAATTTTTTTAGAAAACATGGGTATTTCAAATCATCATTTATTTAAAATGGACTATAAACTAAATAAGCGACTATGCTTCAGAGTTAACAGCTGTTTAAAAATGATAAATTTTCCTTTTCCAAATGTGGTCAGCTTACTCATTAAAATAATACAATCTCAAATTCAATACCACTTACCACAATGAATTATGAAAAATCAAGGGGGTTAAATCTGGATCCTTACGCCTTAAAAGATGCATATTTAGACTAAAAATTCGAATCTAGAGTTAACATTTTTTTAAGTGTGAAGATAAAGTGATAAGAAACGAAATAATCGAAGGCATTAGTAAATTAGTGCTAAAACGATAATGGTGAAAGTTTCGCGATAAGTAGTATCAGATTTGAGTTTTGTTCTCAAAGTTTTGTAAAAATCTATTCTTACACGTACTCTTCTGTATTTTAAATAACATTTACAATAAAATGTATTACAATCGTAGGTTTTAGGGGTAAAAATCCTAATCTGAAAATAAAAATTTCTTAATTGTGAAGATAAAGTTATAAAATGGAAATATTTAAAGAAAAACAGATTTATAATGTCAAATTGGCGCTAAAACGACTATGGTAAAAGGACTTTTTTGTGTTTAAAAAAAAATTTAGGTCTCCAAACATATCCCAAAATTACCCCTACGAAATAAACCTCCAAAGTGAAAACATTAATGAAAAAATATGTCCACGGTCCACCTATTCGTGTTCTACGCTCACTGCTTTAAGCAATTGAGCAATCGGGACATAAGTCCCAAAGTGTTTATTTGAATATAAGATTTTGAATCCAACCTCTATGTAGAGCTGGGCAGTACTCGATTAAATTGTGCTCAAAATTGTACTCGAGTATTCAGTATCTGTAACGTGTGGAGCTCGTGAGCCAGCCTACAGATTTAATGTAGTCAACAACGTCGCCAAGAGGTGCTTCTCTTATATCGGCCGGTGTTAGCCGATACTCGCCGAACACAAATCTTTTAATAAATCAGAGCGTTGAGTAATCGCAAAGGAGGTGCTCTATGGTCTCTTCTTGTTCGCACCCTCTACAAAGTGCGGATTCTGATAGCCCCATGATATGGAGCTGCTTCCGTAGTTGGCAATGACCAGTCAGAATGCCTGTGACTAGGCGCAGATTTTGTCTAGTCATAGTCAAGTATTTGTTTGCTGCAGTGTTGTCAGGATAACTTAAGAACTCCCTGGCAACTCTGCAGTTTCTTGTTTCATCTCATCTTTCCTTGAATTTCACAAGGGAATGTTCTTTAATTAGGTGTGTCACTACCGATGTTGTCAGTCTAATAGAAGGGCCAGGTCCAAAAAGTATTTGGTTGGCTGCTTTCTTGGCTAGTGAATCAGCAAGACGGTTACCTTTCGATGTGGCGTGACCTTTGATCCATCTTAAAGTGACCACATTGTTGGCCAGAGCTTTGTGACGTTCTAGTACTAACTAGGAGTAAATTCGTGGTCTGCTCAGGGTGAGTAGTGCTTGTCTGCTATTTGTATAGATGAGCATGTTCCTTCCAGTGATATTGTTTCTGGTGATTTCTTTTGCTGCTATGAGAATCCCCGTTAGCTCTGTTTGAACTACACTGGCACTATTTCTTACAGCCCATTTTATATTTAGGTTTAAGAATCTGGAGTATATTCCACATCCTGAGCCTTGTTTTGTTTTAAAACCATAGGTGTAGATATGAATCGTACCTGTCACTTCCGGCGTTTCTATTTGTTCTATTATAACTTTATATGGCTTATAGAAGATATATCTCGGTGATATGGAGTCCATGTTCACTTGAAGCAGTGGGAGCGTATCGAGCGCCTCCTACCAAAAGCGACGTCTCGCCTCAATAGATCCTAGATCAAGTTCTATTCTAACCGTGTGTCGTCAAAGCAACCTCCTTGATGTAAATATCAAGGGGAGTGAGACTAAGGATGACTTCCATGGCTCTGGTCGGTGTCGTTTTCATGGCTCCTGTTATGTTGAGACAAGCTGTTCTTTAAATTTGTTCTAATTTACGGGTAACTGTTAATTTTTCAGTTTTCGGTACCCAGACAACTGCACCGTATGTTAGCATAGGTCTTATGATAGCGGTGTAAGTCCATGCGACGACTCTGGGGGAGAAACCCCAGGTGCGCCCCACGGTTAGGCGGCATTGTTCATAAGCAATATATGCTCTTTTAAAATGCGAGTTCCATGTTAACTTACTGTCAAAGGTGAGACCTAGGTACTTCACCTCTGTTGCAAAGTTTAGTTTTGGGTTTAGGAGTTCTGGAGGTTTTAATTCCATTTTCGTCCTTTTCCTTGTGAAACGCACAAGAATGGACAAGTTGTCCTGCATTTCCTGCCTGTACAATTAATTCTGTCGCCACAATACTCATTCTGCTTTCAAACGTTTAAAAGTCAATATGGCTCGGGATTGACTAACATCTATCGCTACACAACCAGTGGCTGACGGCTCGTGACCAAAATATTGGGATAAATAAACTTTCTAAAACACTGAACGTTTTTCGTAAGCCACCACTGACAGTTTTAAGCTTCGACCAGCAAAGGTGTTTCAAATACACACACGCGCACTCGCACACGCTCGCACACACACATACACCACACACTTCGTTATCGTCCTTATAGCGAGACGCTTCTCTCAACCGTCAAAATGTAAGACACGGTAGGATAAAGCTGCCACTCGGATAATGAATTAGCGTGAGATTGAATTTCCTAGAAGCATAAATGGTTAGTCGTGCAAATATGTAAATAATGTGTGTTCTCAGTTTTGTCCAATGATTAAATAATCATTGTGCCGTTCGTCAGTGTTTTGATTTATGGTCAAAGGGTTTACCTCTCAAGATACAGCCCACACGTACCGGTTTCGTGCCGATGTTTTAACAGCAGAATTATTCTGCAAGTTAACTGTAAACAATCTTTTGTTTCTAAATTCCTCTTGATATTATTTTATTTCTGTTAGAATTAAAGCCAATGAATCTTGTGTCAAAACGTTTAGGACATACGTTATTAGAAATTGTAATAAAACTAATAGATTCAAACTTTGACCGAATATAATGCTTTTTTCAGGAGGTGTATTGCGGCAACGAAACCATATGCACCGTAGATGGCTTACACTTCCGTAGTATGTACAATGCGAGAGTTAAGGCCTTTAACAGCTCCGGTGAAGGAGAATACAGTGAACTCATTGGTCTCCAAACTGCTGATGGTAAGAATATACCGCTTTAGCCAACAAATCAAAATGTATAGGGCACATTTGTATTTTTGTAATTTTTTCTTTTCAGTTGCCTGGTTCACTTTTGATCCAGTCTTATCCGGTCCTGGTCTACAATATTCGGAAAATAACACCAGAGTGACAGGAGAAGGATGGGAGCATCGCATAGCTCTAGGCAGTCTCGGATTCAGCCGTGGACTTCACTACTGGGAGTTTACTATTGAAAAATACGACACGGACACCGATCCGTCGTTTGGAATAGCCAGGATCGACGTCACTAGAGATAAAATGCTAGGTAAACATTTATAATGTCCAAATTCTCGCTTCATGCTCTTCTCATGTATTAATAGATATATTAAAAGATCGTTACATAATATAAATTGCGATCCACAAAAAATGTTTCTAAAATAGACCATGGCTCACGTGCGTGAAGTTGGCCCTACCATGTTATGATAATTACACCAAAGTTGTACCAATATTTTGCAACTAATTTGCAACTTTAGGCAACCGGTATAAAAAAATTTGCAACCTTACATTTTAGTTCTAATCGCTAAAACAAAATTGGTGGGGCCAAATTCACGCAGCCCCACCACATCGTCGTATTGACCTCGAACCTTTTTCATAATTTAGCAACTAATTTGCAACTTTAGGCAACCGGTATAAAAAAATTTTCAACCTTACATTTTTGTTCTAATCGCTAAAACAAAATTGGTGGGGCCAAATTCACGCAGCCCCACCACATCGTCGTATTGACCTCGAACCTTTTTCATAATTTAGCTACTAATTTGCAACTTTAGGCAACCTTCGTGAAAAAATTTGAAACCTCGTGGTTACGCCAGAAACGAATTCCTAAGTTGGTGGGGCCAAATTCACGCGGCCCTACCACATCGTCGTAGCGACCTCAAATTTTTTTCATAATTTAGCAACTAATTAGCAACTTTAGGCAACCTTTGTAAAAAAATTTGCAACCTCGTGGTTACGCCGGAAGCGAATTGCTAAGTTGTTGGGGCTTAATTCACGCGGCCCCGTCACATCGTCGTATTGCCCTCGAACCTTTTTCATAATTTAGCAACTAATTTGCAACTTTAGGCAACCGGTATAAAAAAATTTGCAACCTTACATTTTTGTTCTAATCGCTAAAACAAAATTGGTGGGGCCAAATTCACGCAGCCCCACCACATCGTCGTATTGACCTCGAACATTTTTCATAATTTAGCAACTAATTTGCAACTTTAGGCAACCTTCGTGAAACAATTTGCAACCTCGTGGTTACGCCAGAAACGAATTCCTAAGTTGGTGGGGCCAAATTCACGCGGCCCTACCACATCGTCGTAGTGATCTCAAATTGTTTTCATAATTTAGCAACAAATTTGCAACTTTAGGCAACCTTTGTGAAAAAATTTGCAACCTCGTGGTTACGCCGGAAGCGAATTCCTAAGTTGTTGGGGCTTAATTCACGCGGCCCCGTCACATCGTCGTATTGCCCTCGAACCTTTTTCATAATTTAGCAACTAATTTGCAACTTTAGGCCACCTTCGTAAAAAAAATTGCAACCTCGTGGTTAAGTCGGAATCGAATTCCTAAGTTGGAAGGTGGGACAAATTCACGCGGCCCCACCACATCGTCGTGTAGACCTGGAATTTTTTGGGGCCAACATCTTTTTCTTAATCTATTTTATTACATACTAATATATTATTAAAATTTATAGTTACAATATTACAGTTTTACTTTAATAAATTAAGATGATGATATAAATATAAGCATCATGTGCATATATTGTAATATTTAGTAGGTACATTTTTGTATTTAATACGCAAATCATAATTAAACAAAACAAAATAAAATAAAATATAATTTAACATTTTAAGAGGAGCATATTCTTAAATATAACGGATATAATGAATTTGGAAATGATTATTATTATCACAGAAACTAGGTAATATTAATAAAAATAATATTTTTATCGTTATAAATTATAATTTAATACTTTGAAAATTTGTATTATGGAATTCAATTTGTTAAGTCCCAACGTCTTGTTTAATTAAAATTGTTTTAAATTTTACAGAAATGCTCTCCATAATATGTTTTGTTTTGTTTAATTATGATTGGCGTGTCAGATGCAAAAATGTTGGCCCCAAAAAATTCGAGGTCTATACGACGATGTGGTGGGGCCGCGTGAATTTGGCCCCCCTTCCAACCACGAGGTTTTAAATGTTTTCACGAAGGTTGCCTAAAGTTGCAAATTAGTTGCTAAATTATGAAAAAGGTTCGAGGTCAATACGACGATGTGGTGGGGCTGCGTGAATTTGGCCCCATCAACTTAAGGAGTCGTTTCCGGCGTAACCACGAGGTTGCAAATTTTTTCACGAAGGTTGCCTAAAGTTGCAAATTAGTTGCTAAATTATGAAAAAGGTTCGAGGTCAATACGATGTGGTGGGGCTGCGTGAATTTGGCCCCACCAATTTTGTTTTAGCGATTAGAACTAAAATGTAAGGTTGCAAATTTTTTTATACCGGTTGCCTAAAGTTGCAAATTAGTTGCAAACTATTGGTACAACTTTTGTGTAATTATCATAACATGGTAGGGCCAACTTCACGCACGTCCATGGCTCTGAATCAAATTCAAACTGTCACTTAAAAAGAAGAGAAATTGTGCGTTCCGGCGTGCGTGAATCACAACTAACAAATACCGTGCGGTCCTGAATAAGACATATTCTAAGGGACAAGGAGAGTATAATATCCGCTGTTGTCATATGCCTATTTCATTATTCTCGGTTTGTTTACAAAATTATTTACATATATTAAAAAATCTAAAATAATTCAACCTATTTTATTGCAACTGAACCCAAAAAATTTGTATCAAATTTAACTAAATTAGATGTAATTTCACTAAATTAAATGTAATAATTTTCAATAAATTCCAAAACCTAGTATTCGTAAGTTGGAAGTGGCAACAGGGCTTACACCGATACGTTTTTTTATTATAAGCGCACATCGCTTACACATTTATTTATTTATAAAATAAAAGTTGTATGCGTAAAATCCTTCTCTTTGTCCCCTCTCTTACTTCCACCTTTCGCCTTCTTGCCGCGGATCTACATATAGAGTGTTATTGATTGTCGACTTAATCTTGGCATCGTGAATATTATATTTTATCAATGTATATATATATATCTCTGTTATCTCTGTGTAAAACGTAGGGGAGAAAAAATGGTTCACCGAAATTGATGGACGGTTTAATACGTCTTGTAGGTGAACACTTATCGTCGAATGAGCATAACGAAAATATTAAGAAAATAAGTCAAGTTTATGACAGGGACGTACCACTTGTAATGCCTATACTACTGTATTCGAGACAACGCGAATACGACAACGCATTTTCATACCTTCTTAGCTGTATCACTTTGTATTGCAATTTAATGCTTGTTTAAAAAATAAAGAGAAAAATAGTCTAAGACATACAACAACGCACTACAAGTTGAATCAGACATGTTAACTCGAGCGTCAGATGATTTACGTTCATCTCGGGTCTGATTTAAAAAAAAAAGTTTATATACGGTACCCCAAATTTACTTCTAAAGCAATATAGCTATTTGTATTAGTAGGGAGGAAAGTGCCACTTTTCCTCCCGCAGGATGAAGTTTACTGCCCGACGCGAAGCGGAGGGCAGTAAACATCAAAGGGAGGAAAAGGCACTTTACTCCCAAGTAATACATATGATTTTTCCGCCTCCCTCAAATAACAAGTCATTTTTAAATAATTTATTTATGAAACTAATAAACAAAATTTATTAAAGAACTAAAATTATGAAGTAGGTATAGTATAAATTATAGGCATGTTATTTTCATTCTTGCATCCTACATATTTTTAATTTGTGGTAGAGTAATTATTTTTCTGAGTAAGTACGAATATGCTTTTCTTCGGCCCATTGCTTGAAATGTAAATACTGTTTTTCGTATTTTTCTTTAGATTTTTGGGGTAATAGAGATTGAACTGTTGCATTAACCTGTTCCAAAATATCCGGTGGTGTATTATTTATATTTTTAAATTCGCTTGAATCACTCATTTTTTAAATATTATTTTATATTTTCTAGATATATTATAGCGTAACACACTTTAAAACTGATCTGTCAATCGACCATAGCATGCTATAATATTTCTGTCCTAAATTCGAAAATTGGATGAATCTATGAATTGAAGTCAAATTATTAATGTAAAAATCGTTAAATTAAAATAACAATTTACTGATTTTTACTATTTTGCAAAATACAGGGTGTTCTATAAATAAACGGTAAAATTCATACTTATATAATAGAATATAGTTTAGGTCGTCAATGCCGTATAAGCTATTTCATTTATGACATACCATGACGTCACTTTTACTTTTCCTCCCTAGGGAGTAAAAGTACTTTTCCTCCCTAGGGAAGAAAAGTATGACTTTGCTCCCTGCAATGAGGTCAGGAAATGTATACTTTGGATAGAGGTAGGCGGAAAAATAATTTTAACTATTATCCTACTATATTAAAGTCTCAATGTCTGTTTGTCCGTGCCGCGATCTCGGGATAGAGAAAGCCAAAACCTTACCGGACTCAGATATAAGCTAGGGACCCTTAGAGAAGCAAAATGACACCAAAATCATGGTACCTACTTTTATGGTTTCCGAGATATAGAATTCGGTCGAAAATTTAAATGAACGAAGTCGCATTTAGAGAAGCAAAATGACACCAAAATCGTGGCACCTACTTTTGTGGTTCCTGAGATTTAGAATTCGGTCGAAAATTTAAATGAACGGCAGTAGATAGACTACGGCCCCACATAGGGAATTCAATGTGTAAGAGTGAGATGTACAGATTCAATGGGTAAGAGTGAGACAGAGTGAGGGGGAATTAAATATCTTTTAACGCCGAACGGAAAAATCATGCGATTGCCAAAAGGGCATAAGCGTGTTTCTCGGCTACTATTGGTCCGAAACAAACGGGAAAACGGCATTAAGTAGAAAACGTGGTATAGATGAACGTTGAAGAGAAAAATCATGCGCAGGACGAAAGCCAGAACGGCCTAAGCGTGTTTCTCGGATATTACTGGTCCGATTTAAACAAAAAAAATGGCATTATGTAGAAAACGTGGTATAGATGAACGTTAAAGAGAAAAATCATGCGCAGATTGAAAGCCAAAAGGGCCTAAGCGTGTTTCTCGGCTACTATTGGTCCGAATCAAACAGGAAAAACGGCATTATGTAAAAAACGTGGTATAGATGAACGTTGAACAGAAAAATCATGCGCAGAACGAAAGTCAGAAAGGCCTAAACGTGTTTCTCAGATATTACTGGTCCGATTCAAACGGAAAAAACGGTATTATGTAGAAAACGTGGTATAGATGAACGTTGAAGAGAAAAATCATGGCCAGAACGAAAGCCAAAAGGGCCTAAGCGTGTTTCTCGGCTACTATTGGTCCGATTCAAAGGGGAAAAACGGTGTTATGTAGAGAACGTGGTATAGATAAACGATGAAGAGAAAAATTATGCGCAGAACGAAAGCCAAAAGGGCCTAAGCGTGTTTCTCGGCTACTATTGGCCCGATTCAAACGGGAAAAACGGTATTATGTAGAGAACGCGGTATAGATGAACATTGAAGAGAAAAAATTGATGTTTTGTTTGACGTTTCGCATGACATTTTCGTGTGATGTTTAACGTTTCGTTTGACGTCGAAGGTGTCGTTTCAAACGCAAAATTCTTCAACAAAAATAACTACTGAAATTGTAACAGCCGGGTTGGTCGAGCGGTCTAAGGCGTCTAACGTAAGTCCATCCTCCGAATAGTCAGTATTGAGATGTCTAGCGAAGAGAATAGACGTAGAATTGAAGAGTTTGGCGTAAAAGTTAGGGAACTAAATAGAGACATAAAATTCATCGTTCATCTATACCGAATTCTCTACATAATATAGTTTTCCCCGTTTGAATCGGACCAATAGTAGCCGAGAAACACGTTTATGCCCTTTTGGCTTTCGTTCTGCGCATGATTTTTCTCTTCAACGTTCATCTATACCACGTTTTCTACATAAAGAAGTTTTTTCCGTTTGAATCGGACCAATAGTAACCGAGAAACACGCTTATGCCCTTTTGGCAATCACATGATTTTTCCGTTTGGCGTTAATAGATATTTAATTCCCCTCACTCTTACCCATTGAATCTATACCTCTCACTCTTACACATTGAATTCCCTATGTAGGGCCGTAGTGGCATAGTCTACTAACGGCCTACTATATTAAGTGCCAATGTCTGTCTGCCTGTCTGTCAAATTACCACAGCCCCAAATAGATGAATCCAGTCAAGAAGAATTTGCAGAACACTATTTAGATGAAAATTTTGATATATTTAATGACATTATATAATTATACAGTGCTTCTCAAAAGTCCCCTCCCCCCTCTTTTCTTTTGAACGGTGACACCTAGACTGATGACATTTGAAGGGTGGAAATGAACTATTGTAAGCTTCTCTACTAGTGGTAACAGGTGACGTAATATGTGACGTCACTATCGGTGACGTCACCAGGTAACTGAAACCAATAATATTAAAAAAAAACATCGTAAATCCAAAAAAAAATAGTATGACTGAATAGGTATTCTAAATACCTTTCAAACGAGATGGCACTTGCCATAAGGTCCCATTTAATATTATTTGTTTCAGTTGCCTGGTGACGTCACCGATGCATATTACGTCACCTGTTACCACTAGTAGACAAGCTTACAATAGTTCATTTTTACCCTCCACATTTCATCAGTCTAAGTACCACCGTTCAAAAGAAAAGAGGGGAGGAGGGGACTTTTGAGAAGCACTGTATACATTTTTTCAAACTTCTTAAACTTTTAATTTGCAAAAATTTACTATTCAAATTATACACTTTTGAAATCTTCTCAAGATTTGAAGCGTCGAAGACACTCGGTCCCCGGTTCTACCTATATTATAGTGTTAAACGAAATTGTATGTTAAATATTTTATTTGTATAATTTGTATAATGAAAGGAATTCTTCTTTCAGTATATAATATGGCAACTTTGCTGTACTTTCCTGACCTTTTAATAACGAATTTCAGTCAAGGGCGGCTCCAGAACGAATTTTCGAAGGGGGTCATTGTTATTAGCCATTCCCTTTTTAGCATATTTTTCTTAAAAAAAGGTATGTGGATTGTAAGAATTTTTATCTCCTCCCCTGGGGCCGCCCTTGATTTCAGTATAATAGGTATTCTGGTATGCTGTGAAAAAATTCATAAGCAGATTATATCAAAAAATTTGACAAAATTCATAAACCGAAACAGCAATAAGTTTATTAGTTTCATATAACTATTTTTATTTTTAGGTAAAGACGACAAGGGCTGGGCAATGTACATCGACAACCAACGGTCGTGGTTCCAACATGCAGGGGCACATGAACAGCGGGTCGAAGGGGGCATCCAAATCGGCTCGACCGTAGGCGTACTATTAGACCTCGAACAACACACACTATCATTTTTCGTGAACGAAGAACCCCAGGGCAATATTGCGTTCAGGGACCTCTACGGAGTGTTCTATCCGGCGGTGAGCATCAACAGGGGTGTCAGCGTCACTGTCCACACATCTTTGGATCCGCCTTCTGACTTGGACGAAACTCAATAAGACTGAATAGGCATATTTAAACAATATTAACGACTGATCGCAAAAGACCTTACACTTCGAACGAGCCTTTATATTGATTAACTTAAATGAAATTTATGTGACTTTTTTTCGTGCTTTTACCTTTATCTAGTTGATTTTTGAAAAGGATCTTAAATTGAGATGGGCTGCTATTGCGATCGGCTGTGCTACTTTTTTTTATACATGGTTTTACATGTTAACTTATACACACTCTACTTAATAGTTTGAGAGATTTGTTATAGATATCTTATATTAAATTATATCTTATATTTAACATTATTATATTGATTAAACTTATTTATCAGTATACTATATACGGCGTTTTATTTCTGATCTAAAGAGTCATATTTTGTGTAAAAAATATTCGATACTAAAAAAATAAATAAAATAAGTATTTGTTTTCACCTTTGGGGTCCGATCCCCAAAGATCTTAAAATTCTTAGGGGGATTTTTGAGAATTGTTTCCGTATTTCCTAATTATTAATTATTAAAAAATTAAACTCAACACTACTTGAAAACAATTCGTCTGGTTGTCAGTGCGTGCGCATGGGTGCCGACACGATAACTTTCGAATGGAAGCTCCGATCGAACTGCTCTTTTCACTTTACATGATTATTTTCTCCAGCACATAATATTGATCATAGGATTTTTCGGTTTAACTTCAAATTTCATCAAATAAAAAGAAAAACTCTAAGTCTTGACCACAATTTTTTTTATTGTTATTGAAAACAGGGGGAAAGGCTAGTTTCAGTCAGTGACCATCATCAGGCCTGTCACAGAGTATGATGAAACTTATTTGATTATAAGTAAAAAAATGTTTGAACAATTTATGGGTTAATGATACATGAGAATATAAAATTTACAAATTAAAATGTGATAACTTAAGTTAATAACTTAATTAGTCATATTATGACCTCACCAATAAACAAAATTTTTAAATGACTGTTGTTCACAGATTTCTTGTTTGTAATAGCTTTTATTGCTTTATTCATCTTGTTAATATTATATTGTATATTATGTATATTGTCATAACTTATTTCAAATTTTCAGTATTTGTTTATCAACTTACTCAATATTTCTTAAATAATCTTTTCACCTTTTTCTAAATTGTCATTGACTATTAAATACTTTAAACATTGTTATAGTCTCCGTCATGTCCGAAAACAACGCTTCATAAACTCCTCACCTTAAACAATAGAGAAATTAAATTTTACACAGTGACTACCAAAAGACATAGCTATGCAACTAATGTATAAAAACTAAAATTAATAGCTTCCTTGGTAGTCAGGCCACGAACTTTTCCATCCATCCTCGTATTTGCATATGTATTTACTACGAAAAAATTTTCTAGATTGTTTTCATCCCCATCAAACATGGAAATGGTATCAACATGTAATTTTAACATTTCAATATTTATTTGTTAGGCATTTACTTGATTTACGTTTGCTTGATTTGCATTTACTAGGTTTCCATCAACCATATTTATTTTTTTATTAAAATCTGCGATTAAATTATCTATAACGTTCATACAAAAATCTATATCTAAGTATTTTTTATATATTTTCTTTCATTTTTTTTTTATTCACTTATCCTATTCTAAAATTCGCAAACATAAGCATAAATTGAGAAAAAGTATAAAAGGAGTACTCAGTACTTACTTAAACTTCTTCTGATGATTCTAGCTCTGCAGGCCTCAGACTCCAGGGTGGATTCCCACAGGAAAGTTCTCGACACCAAAGAGTTGAAACGTCACGTAAATTTCGGAAAATCGGACCCGATGTCGTGGCTTTTCGCGAAACTACTGTGTCGATTCTATTGACTGCGCCAGTTAAATTTATTTAACTCGAAAATATTTTTTTAAAAAACAATAATTACTTTTTGAAAATTGAATCGGTCATTTGAGGAACACCATAAATTCATGTTATTAAGATTTTGCATTGTGACCGTTTACTCATGAATACAAAGTACTCACCATTTACTTTCATAATATAAGAATTAAGGATAGTACATTTTTAATTAAGTTTATCAGTAATAAAAGTTGGGGACCTGAAATTTCCTTTAAACCACATAATAAAACATGTCCTGCGTTTAATAAATATTTCTAGATGTTTGTGTAGCATCCAGTAGGTAGGTGAAGATTTCCAACAAATTAGTCATAAATACATGATAAATATTATATTTATGACGAAAGCACGGAAACTAAACTTAAATTAACACTAAATGAAACTCAAATACACTATTATAATAACATTACCTAAAAAAGTTAAAAATCACAAATATAAAATCGTGCCGACAAAATATCCCTCTTATAGGTGACAAAAAACAAGCCCGCGAAAATTAATATGAATCGCGAATACCACAGCTTATTTAATTTGGCACTTTATGTTATCATTCATTGCATTAATTTAGCAACCCCTTTGTATTAATCAACCCTTCTCTAACACAAACACTGGCGCACAGACTGGCATAAGATGTCATACCTGTCAAAGTGACAGCATGAACAAGAAAAATCTCTTTCCCATAATTCTACTAATTATATATCTTTACTGGTATCACAGTTACATGATCGGATTTATAATATTTTTAAGCGATACATTGATGCTCTGGCAATTTATAGTCTATCCCATATTTTTTCATCTGTTGTTTTACATGATGACCTGGTCTATGGTGGCAACTTGGCTAATGCCCACAGGAAAGGTTCCTCACAAGTATAAATTGACCACGTTCCAGATAAGGACTTTGTTGCGTAGTCCTGATGACAAGAGGCAGGTGGTTTTAGCGGCTTTTTATCAAAACAAAGGTATCAAAATGTTCTGCAGAACAAGGAGTGGAAATCTAAGGTAATTTCACAATAATTTATTTCTGTAAAAGATCAAAGAGCAGGTTTGAATCGTTTGCAAAAATGTCTATATATCCAACTAATTTACGGGAAATTTACGGGAAAGTCCAGAAAGAAGAGCAAATTATTGTAGATATAATTTACTCAGAGACTTCAGGAGCCGTTGCGTATCTTATAGCAGAAGTAGAAGTTAGGAAGGCTTTTGCCAGTTCTCCCACTTTATACACATAAATTGACAGGTTTGCGGCGGATCTCACCGAAGTGGACGTGATACATTGGCGTACAAAATTATTTTATAGATGTTAATAACAATTTCAAGTAAATAGTTTAATAAATTGTGAATAGCTGTTGAAATTTTGTAAAATTATGATTTGAATATTATAATACATGTTTAATAATTATTTATAGTCCATAAATACATGCGATTGTCCGGTTCTGCCGGTAACAATTTAAAATTACTTATTCTATGAAACGACACTGCCAGGTAAACATTACTGCGAAATTCTCGAAGCCGTCCGACGTGGTTTGACGTTTACCCCCTCTCTACCTACCAAAAGCCTTTCCAACTTTTACTTGCGCTATATAATTTAAACTGGTATAACAGCGTTCAACATCGTTTAATAATAGTTATTTATGTACCAAGACAACAAAGTGATTCTTTATCGAACTAGTCTAAGACTATGAGCCGAGCGAGAGAAGTGATCGAGGCGAGTATGATAAAGACAATTTGTTAACGCTGTCCATACAAAATTTTATCGCCAACCGTTAATAATTATAATTAATAAAAGAGGACATTTTATTATGTCAAAGTAAACAAACAGAAAAATAACAGCGAATAGAAAACAAATCAGTTACAAACTATGTATGTCAGACGGTCATAGCTATGTTGATAAATATTAGGGGCACAGAAAATATTTTATTTTTACATTGAGAATAAAGTGTTTGTTTACTTCTACAAATCGCTATGGTAATGCATGGCTTTATTGACGGTTGGCGATAAAATATTTTAGTTACTCAAAACTATTTTCTCAAAATTTGCCGAAGCTTCTGCTATTAACCATTAACCGTTAGTGTGTTTTCGATTCGCATATCTCCCTGATAGATTAGATTAGATTTAATTAGGACTATGGGCCATGTGGCCTCCCCCACCTCGACCTTTTTAGATCTATTGTAGTAGACTCCATGGACTGGGAAGTAGTTCTCCGGTATAGCTATTTGCCCTTGGTTTTTCTTCTCCAAGTGTAAGGAATCTCAGTCTTGCTAGACCTTCGCAGTAGCACAATACGTGTTCTGCCGTTTCCTCCTCTTTTTGACAGAATCGGCATGAGGTCTCTTCTGTCAGACTGATGTTGCACATATGATTGTTAAGCCTACAGTGCCCTGTTAATAGACCTACTAGTACTCTAGTATTTTTCCTATTAAGGCTTAGTAGATGGTCGGTTTAGGCGATGGTCCTTTTAAGAACTCTTTAGCCTGTCTCTGTCCTGGTGAGTTTTTCCACCACTCCTAAGATTTTTTAAACATCCACTGCTATGTGCATGTTCTGATAGTTGTTTTTGTTACACCACAGAAGGGTTCTGGGCCAATAAGAGCATTTGAGGCTCCTTCTTGGGCTAGTAAATCTCAGCTTCTTCATTGCCCTTATGTCCCTTGTGGCCTAAGGTTAGTCTGTTTTGACTACCCAGCTCTGTTAGGGCTTCCCAACAGTCCCACACAAGCTTTGAGTGTACCTGCATGGAACTGAGTGCTTTTAACGTCGCTTGACTGTCTGAGTATATAACAATGGTTTTTCCATGTACCTTCTGTTGAGCAATACTTTTACGTAGTGATGTATTGCTGCTATTTCTGCCTGGAATACTGTCGCATGTTTACCTAAGCTCAGTGAGATTATTGTCTTTGGTACTATATATACCTACTTCTGAACCTTCATGGATTTTGGAGCCGTCTGTATACCAGGTGAAATCTGCAGGAATAGGAGGTCCTCCCGTCCACGCTTCCCTGTCTGGTATACTTACTTTATATTAGTTTTGAAAGCTATACTTTGGGAGCATTCTTCGGCCACCATACTACCGACCCGTAGGTTATCATCGGCCTTATGACTCTGGTATATAACCATAGGGACATTTATGGTTCTAGTCCCCAATTTTTTCCACACAACCTTCGTCATAGGTTGAAGGATGTTGTGCTCTTGGGTAACTTTTTGCAAGTGTCGATTCCATGTTAACCTGTGGTCAAAGATGACTCCCAAGTATGTGGCCTCTTGAGCAAATGGAATCTTTACTCCTTTCAGTACTGGTGACTTTAGTCCTGTTGGTACTTTTCGTTTTGTAAAGTTGACTATTGTGGTTTTGTGAGGGTTTACTGTTAGTTCCACCTCTCTGCACCACTCGTCAAGAATGTTTAGAGCGGTTTGTGTGCGCTCCGATATTGTACCTGCGAACTTGCCTTTTACGACAATCGCCAGGTCATCGGCATACCCTAGGCAGTAAAAATCTGCAGATATTAGCCTTTTTATAAGTTTGTCCACTGGGACTGACTAGAGGAGGGGTGATAGTACTCCTCCCTGGGGGCAGCCCCTGTCTGCTTTAGCTGTCAGTGTAGCTTCGCCTAGAGATGATGTTATTTATTCTTTTTTCTAGGCTGGATTTTATCCACTGACATATGACTACTGGTACCCCTTTTATTGCTAATGCGTTAATTATAGATCTTGTTTGAGCATTACTAAAAGCTCCCTCAATATCTACGAAAGTTGCTACTGCCATTTCTTTAACCTCCAGGGATTTTGACAATAACCTGTTAAGATCATTCAGGGCCAAATCGGTTGACTTGCCTGGCTGATATGCATATTGACGGTCGCTGAGAGGATTTTCTCTCAGTATTTCGTCTCGTATATATCTCTATTAGTATTTCTGGCGTTTTTAGCATGAATGACGATAGACTGATTGGGCGGTACGACTTATTTGGTGTCACCTTCTTACTTTAGGAAGGTATATGACTTTCACCTTTTGCCTCGCCTTTGGTATATGTCGCCAGGCTATACATGCTTTAAATTTGCGACACGTATGTGGAATTAAAGTTTCCTGTCCCTTTTGTAGTAGAATGGGATGTATTACATCTACTCCTGGGGATTTGTATGATTGAAATTTGTTTGTAGCCCATCTAATTTTGTTCGGCCTCGATATTTCTGTAGCTAGCCTTCATTCCAAAGGAGTTGGCCTACGAGACCTTCTTTGAGGACTGTATGCTACTATCGGGCCTAGCAAAATTTATGCGGCCGGAAAGTGTACTTCTGTGAGCATTGTTAACGTTTCCTTGAAGGTTTTTGTATAGGTTTCATCATCTTTCCTGAGAAATCCTACTTGGTTTGCAGCACCCTCTTTAACTAAGACTTTGCGGATTCTAGAGCATGTGGGTGTTTCAGATAACTCTTCACAGAACTTCCTCCACGATTGCTTTTTAGCCTTTCTTATCTCCTTGTTGTACTGCGTGAGTTTAGCCTTGTATAGGGCCCAGTCTTCGGTTGACTTGGCTTTATTAAATAGCCTTCGCACTTCACCTCTATGTATATGTATATTATATATCCCGATATCTGTATTTTTGTAAAAACAAATAATATTAGCACCAAAATATTTTACAAAAATTCAAATATTAATAACTAAGGGGAAAAACCTACAATTTCGAATTTAACAATAAATACTATTTGGTTGTTTATCTTTTATTTTTAGATTCTGCAAATACTGTTTTCACTTCAAGCCCGATAGAGCACACCATTGTTCCCAATGTGACACGTGCATCTTAAAAATGGATCATCACTGTCAATGGTTGAACACGTGCATTTGCTTGACCAATCAAAAGGGCTTCTTGCTGGCTCTATTTTACTGCTTTTTGTTTTCCATATTTTATATATGCACCACTTTCAATGCGTTCATCTACTTTTTTACATCGAATCTGCCGAACCCAAAGGAGTATCTTTGGGTGATCATCGGGTATGTATTAAAAAGGTTTGTAGAATAATTATTGCGAAGAAACCATAGGCATTTTCGGAAACCTACTACAAATAACAAATCCAGATTACTGGGTTTACCCGATGGATCACGTGGTTCACTGAACTTTGTGCAGACAGTTTACGAATGAGTTGGATTATTGTTCCTGTTTATCTACGTCTGTCAATCTTTGACTTTTCCCTATTATTTGTTAAAGAACCATTTTATTTAAACATATTTGTTGTCTGACCAATAAAGTCGTAATATGGGCATAAAGATTGCAAGTTATAACTAAATGAATGTAGAAAAAACTTCAAAGCTATTACTGGCAGACACCAAACACCAAATTGCGTTATCCCTTTATAAAATCCTGCGGTGCGCTCGCGGATCTATTACTAATCTACTCGTACAGTGGGTTAGAAAACATTGATCTCGATCACAAAGCTGGATCAGTAATCTACTGTTTCCGAACACGGATAGGGTTAGTAACCATAGGTAAACGAACAATAGGATCCATAATCTTTCTGATCCGAGTAAGTTTTCGAAAACGCCTCATGTATACTAATAACCAGTTCAATTATATTTGATTCTTTTTAATTTTCAGGTTTGTTACAACCAGTTGTGTGGCACCAATCATTTTCATTTTTGTTTTCTTGCATCTGTCGCTAATAGCGCAAAATAAGACTCTCGTCGAGGACCTAGATCCGCCGTATTTCACTAACAGATACAGTACCTACGATTTAGGTTTAGTCGAAAACCTCGAACAAACCTTAGGTAGGAACAAGTGTTTATGGTTGATACCGATTTTTAACCAGGACGGCCCCGGTTTGGTGTTTCAAACCCGCAAAGGTCGGTTGAGACGGCCCAGAACTTTAGAAACACATCGAAGCACGGTTCATCGCATGGACGCTCAACGGACATTATCCGATTATATAAGATGAAATCATAATTTTAATTGTACTATAGTAATAATTCAAATACTGTGTCTGTGATAGGTGGATGTAAAATAATGTCAATGGCTTGACAGGTCTATTTTTATTAGGTATAACCGCATTTTTTTTAATTGTTAAGAAAACGTTATATTTTTAAAAGATTCAAAATGTTTCATATTAATTTTAAAATTAGATTTTAAAGTATATTTTGCATAAAGATTCCAAAGTTGTTTTTTCTTTTGGAGTTTCTAAATTGACTTTGCTGCAAGAAGTTTATTTTAACAAAATTATATTTTAATCACATGTACCTTACAACACTTTTCTTAAGAGAAAAATAAAAAACAATTGGAGCTGATCCCCTCCTCTTATAAAGTAAAAAAAACTTTGTTTGGAAAAAGTATTCGTCCGACTATCGTAAAGTGAGGTTGAATGTTTCAGAAGGCTGCTGGGAATCTAGGTCAAGATCAATCGCGTATGTATTACATGTGCTAAATTGTGATCGTTGAAAAAAAAACAATGATTGCAAAAATTAAAGTGTGCAATAAAAATAGTTTTAAAAAGTGTAGAGAAACTGGTCAATACCGAATCTTCTGAAGCGCTTTTAGCGTAGAAAATCAGGCCATGATACAGGAGAACCAAACTAATATGAAAACAACATTTAAAGATGACGAGGAAAAAATTGATAAAAAAATATAGAAAAAAAGCTATACGAGGGCTGACTAAACAATTGCACAAAATGGAATTGATGTTAGGTATACATGTAAAAACAACAACAACAGGAAACATACTCAGAAGAAAAAAATAGTCATTAAAGAAATAGCTTAGATAGTACAAAGAAGCAAAAGAAATAGCAAAAACGAAGCGAAGAATCTCCTGAAGTGTCACATCAAAACACGACCAAAGAACCACCAAAAATTACCACCACCAATAATATTAACTCGGGTCAAAAACTAATAAGCAAACAACACAATTTTGTAGCTACCATATTAAATAACGATGAAATCAAATTAAACTTAAATGATGAATAAGAATTTAGAAAATGACAGATCTCTTATTGTATGATATAGGTATAGAGGGTATTCCACATGAACTTTTAAAAATTTACTTAAGAAATAGAAAACAAAAAGTAAACATAGGTGACATGTTGAGCCAAGAAAAAACTATTACTTGTGGAATACCACAATGGACTGTGCTAGGGCCTATTCTTTTTAATATATATTTAAATAATCTATTCCTGGTAGAGACAAATTGCAAAATAATTAGTTTTGCTGATGATACGGTATTGCTTTGTGAAGATAGTAACTGGTATACCCTAAAGATAAAATTAGAACAAGACTTAGAAAAAATAAAGATGTGGTTTGATCATAAGCTCTTGTCATTAAACTTTAAAAAATAAATTACATACCATTTAGTTCTTATAGTAACGCTCTATTAAGTGTAAATTTCTATCAAACTTTACCAAATTAAAAATATAATTATCCACAACCTCATTATCAAGGAGTCCATCCTGTAACCATGTTTCAACAGCAATTACAATATCACAATCATCATTTAAAAAATTCCTAAAAAAATCATTATACTTAGTATTTAACTCTCTACAGTCTAGTATAATAATATGTTCACTATATCTGGCATGAAATATGTTTAGCTTGAGACCGTAAATTTAAATAAACAACCAAAATTCAGTATGTTTAAAGGTACTTCGAACATGAATGTTGCATTTTGTGCTGCATGCCTATTGATTTATAACGTTTTCATTTATATTTAATCAATAAACTTTGTTTTTGTTACTTCATTGCACCTAAACTATTAAGAACTATGATTAATTTACTTCTTAATAAATTAATATTAATAATACTTATTAAAGATTAAATGGTAATACACAACTTTGTACAAATTAAAAATAATTTTTATTAGCACTACTCGAATCTCTACTCAGGTTGTGTACATTGCTTTAAGATTACAAAGCAATAAGAACTCGCGTCGGTCCATGGAAGCGGGGAAAGCACCGCTTCCCTACACTTTGAGATTTAAAAATAGATATTTTTCCGTTTACAATGCGTAGAAATTAATATTAAATTAGGTACTATATTTTCTCTGAAACATTACGTAAACTTCGTAAATGTACTAACAATTCATTGGTGTGATGTGTAAACGCACGCACCACCCATGAGAAAATAAATTGTGTAACCGTACACACCATATACTTCGAGTCCGAAGCGGAAACGCGTCTTTAAAGGGCCGGTTCATCTTCCAATAGGTTTCGCTTCGTGTTATTGACCCTGCTTTGCCGCGACGGTCGAGAGGCAGCGATTATTACGTCGCCTTACGCATATTTCAATTAGAATCGCTAATCGACGTGTGAGGAAAATCGTAGATTTCGGTTTGTTTTTCTTTTTGTAAAATGGAGGAACTATGCAATGTGCCTGTGAACAATAATAATGTGGTAAATTGTCTGTATTGTGTGCTCTTTGTTGAAAAAATGATTTTCAAGTAGAAATTTTGAAATGAAAACGGACATTATTAATTCTAGTAGACTAAAGGATCAATTTAGAGACGAAAGTAGAGAAGTCAGCAAAGAAATTTACCAGGCATTTTCACGTAGTGTTCTATGAAAAGTATGAATGGTTAACCGGCTGCAAAACTTTGAAGAAATTGTTTTGCTGGCATTGCCTACTTTTTAATGTAGCGAAAAAAACACATTGGAACTCAGTCGGTATTACAGACTTGAATAATGTTCACAAAAGTGTAAAACGACATGTAAATAGCAAATCTCATATAAGTGCTACAACTAAAGAAAAAACATTCGAGACCTATCGCATTGAACATAGTTTAGACAATCATTTAAAAATAAACAACAAAATTCACAATGAAAGGGTAAAAAAAATAGGGACGTCTTACAACGATTAATAGATGTAACTTGTTTCCTGTGAGAGCATGAACTAAGTTTTAGGGGTCACAATAAAGCAAGTGGATCCGACAATCGAGAAAATTACATGGAACTTCTTAGTGTTTTAGCAAAATACGATGATACCCTAAAAAATCATTTTATTGATTCGACGACTTTCCGAGGTACCTCAAACAGAAACCAAAATGATTTAATTAAATACACTGCCGACGTTGTGATGGATCACATTAAAAGTGAAATTAAAAAAGCATCTTTCGTATCAATTGTGGTTGATGAAACCACAGTTGTAGCGAACTTAGGTCAATTATCCATTGTTCTGCGATATATATTGGATGGCATTCCTCAAGAGCGATTCTTAGAATTTTTGGACGTCACTAGCGAACGAACTGCAGATGCATTCTTTAAAATTGTTTGTGACATTATTTCAAGTTTAGAATGTGGTTCTAAGCTTGTTGCCCAGAGGTACGATGGTGCTGCCGTAATGGCTGGCCATTTAGGATGCCTTCAAGCTAAAGTGAAAGAGACGTTTAACCATGCAATTTTCGTTCACTGTATACATAGACTTAATTTGGTTTTATCGCGAAGCATGGATAATATTAAAGATTGCAAAGTTTTCTTTTCGACGCTCAGTGGTTTGGCTTCCTTCTTTTCAAAGTCATCGAAAAGAACTCGCGCTTTGGACATTCACGTTCAAGTAAAGGTTTCCAAAAGTTGCTCCGACGCGATGAAACTACAATGGACGTTTAGTGCAAACAGTGTTTTAATATCGTGATTCTTTGATACACCTTTTTCAAGTCGTTTGGGATAATAAAAAAACATGGGATGCTGAAATTGTTACTGCCGCTAAACGGTATTTGCACTGGCTCAAAAAAAAAACTTTAATTTCAATTTTTTGCTCAACATTTTTGCAGAGATTTTCCGTTTTATTGACATTTTATTCGACATTTTACAGACAAAGTCAAATGACATTGGCTTTTGCATTAAACAAATTGATGATTTTGAAAATAAAATGAATAAAAATCGAGATCAGTTTGAACACTTAGGACCGATTCCACCGTTGTGTTAAACGAAGTTTAAAATGCCATTTTTACATTAACAATGTAATTTTAATCTCCGCTTAACACAACGGTGGAATCGGTCCTAAGAGAATTAGAATTGATAATGTTGGCGACAGGAGACCTCTTATCGTCGATTATACGCTGAAATTTTTGATATTTTACAACAAATGAACTCTCGATTTCAACTTTAACGAATCAAAATTTGTTGAATTGTGCAATTCTGTGGCCGGCGCTTAAAAGGTCATAAGTCGTTTTTTACATAAATATAGTTTTTAGTCAAAATACGTTTAGGAAGAGTGTATATTTTAATCAGTTAAAAGGATTCAAGTCTATATACGTTGTAAAGTAATAAAAAATAAGGTACAAAAAAACATATATAATAATACAAGGGTAACTGCGAAAGACAAAACGACATAATTAAACATAAACAGTCAAATTTTGTATCATAAAATAGTTTAAATAAAGTATGTATACATATTTTTTAATTTTTACAGGACCAAATCTTCTAAAAAGATCGTCGATTTGGATTCTAAAAATCCTTATTAACGTGACTCAAAATTTTCCAGCGCCATTCTCCAAAAATGTGTAATATCGACTTATTACCTTTTAAGCGCCGACCACAGAATTTAAATATTAGTAACTACGATTCATCAAAATTTCCATTCACTAAAATTAAATTATGGAAATTTTTTCGATAATCCAGCATTAAAGTCCCAGTTAAGTGTTGTTTATGAAACAACTGAAATTGGTGATAAAAAGACGCCCATCAATGTGTTAAATTTTCTTAAACAACTGGTTTACATAAGTCCCTTTGTGAAGTCGTCAAGTTGTGTGAATTAGTACTAATCATCCCAGTCACAAGTGCGTCAGTTGAGCGAAGTTTTTCAGCTTTAAAGCGCATTAAAAGTTTTATACGAAATTCAACAAGTGAAGACAGACTCTCTAATTTAGCCCTAATATCCATTGAAAAACAGCTTGTTAAACAGTTATCAGACAATCCAAAATTTTACGACGATATTATAGACAAATTTGCAACTATTGAGGATAAGCGAATAGATCTTAAATATAAATAAATGTCAACTGCTGTGTCAGCTGTGCGAAAAATGCCTGAAAAAATAAAAAAAAATCAGATAAATGTTTTTTTTACGTTTAAATAAACCAAGGAAGCTTTTCAATAGTAAGTTTTTTATAGCTTCTAGTACTAAACTAGGTAATGAAGTAATAGTAACACTTCAAAAATCTCAATCTCAAACATCCGTAGTACTGAGGAAAAAAGCAAGATATTGACAAAATGGTGAATGCGCCGCGAAAAATTTTATGCTGTATTTTTATACAATTGCTTCCCCTTCCAAAAATGTCACGCACGTCACTGAAGAACTGCCGTTTTGTTACAAAATTTTGATGTTTTTACCATAAATAACTTAAAATTGCTCAAAACGCCGTAAAAAACTGTTTTTGAATTGATGTCAAATTTCGAATTTTAAAATTACTGAATTTAAAACTAAGGTATTTATATAACTGAAATTCTATTCTGTACAACTTTTATTCCATGGGTTTCTTTAATGGGAGTATGTTTCCAAGATATGTGGTCTTAGAAAGCAGCAAAATGTAAGTTTTCACCGAAATGAGACATTTTCAGCGTTTGGAACCATGACATTTTCCGTCTGACGCATCATTTTCCGTCTGACGCATCATTTTCCCGCTACAAAGCAAAAAACTGAAAAAAGTGTAAACATTTGACGTTTTTTCGGCTACCAAAAGTTATGCTCACTTCCTGGGATGGTGCAACCTCACATTACATGCATTTAGAACCAAACAAAGATATTAAAATAATTTCAAGCTTACTGGAAATTAATTCCTCAAAACGGTTTTTTTCGATTTAATTTTATTGGCTTACAACAAATTTATTGTGTAAAAAAAATCACACTAAAAAGATATTTTATTGAAACCGGATTTAAATAAGTTTGTGTCACCCTATATTATATTGTTGCATAAACTTCCAGTGTTTTAGTTGGAGGAAGTGATGAAAAAGATTCATCAAAGAGGTATAAATCAAAAACAATAATTTGATATTTTTAGTATATTTCACTAAATATATTTATAACAAGAAAAACTAATAAATATTTTATTGCTGTGTCAATCAAAAATAAAAATAAAATAAAACAATAGCGATGTTTAGTTTCTACAAGTAGACATTGCCACAAATATGTATACATGGCGAATCAGAAACAAATTAAATAAAAATATCTACAAACTATTTTTCATTAACGAATGAATCACTTCTGAATCACCATGTATAATCGGAGCGATTCCCGTTTCAACTTACGAATTTTCACAAAACCAGAAAATTACGTATTAAGAAAAGCGAAAGGCTACGATTAAATGTCAAGATTATACATCAAAAGTTTATAAAATTGGAAGACAGATGCCAAAAAATATTGCGAGTAAATATTACTTGCATTTAAAAAATCGAACAACAAATTATTTGGCACAGAAAATTGGTTCGTACGAGCCGAAAACATTCTTAAAACAACTCTAAACGGAGTAAATTTGACAGCTGTCGCTGTCACGTTTGACAGATGACGTCTCGCTTTGCTTAAAGAGGAACGGCTCGTGCAGCAAGTTCGATTGAAATCTCTCACACAATCTAAGCAAAAAATATAGATAGATTGAAAAATAAATTTGTATGAGAAATTTCAACGCTTGCAAACATTTTTTTTTTCACAAGAAGCTAAATGTAAATATAAGCGCAGAGTATTTTTTTCGTCATCAGGCAAAACTGGTATTGCTATAGGATCGAAATCTTTGACAGAAACTTAGTTTCTTCTAACATACAAGGCGCAAGACAATTAATTTTTTTATTTACCTAAATAGAACGCAGTTGCCGGTATTATTTTTACAGGTCGATCAACTACTATATTTTTGCGATTTAAAATGGGTTATATTTAGAGTAAAATCCACTAGGTGGTGAAGTGCTGTATGGACAAAGTTTAAATAAATAATAATGGCGACTCAATTTTAAACTCTCTGAAGTAACTATAACAGTTCATTTTAACTTTCTTCAATTTAAAACTGCATTTATAGCCCGCCTCATTTTCATAATATTGGTTCTATATTAAAGTTTCCAAATGATATAAACAGCTAAGAAATTTTTCAAGAAGAGCAAAACCGAGAGTTGATACACCTGTAAAAAAGACACCTTTGTCACAGTGTGCCAATTAAAACTAAGACTCATGTCATTTTATGACAATAAAAGTGGTAATGATACTTAGCAACTGTACAATATCCGAGTCTCTACAAAATACTTTTACAAAAATAAGGTGTTTGGTATTTTAAAATTTTTAATGTACATCATATAAAATATTTTATTTTCGTGATCAAGTTCTACCCCATCTGTTATTATAATTAAACATAAAATACTATGTCCGTGATAGCTCAGTAGGTAAGAACGCTGTGCGTAGAACAGGAATAGGTGGGTTCGAATTCCCTTGGGCAGAATTTTTTCCATTTTTAATTAATTTGTTTTCACCTTTGGGGTTCAAAAACAGTTTTCATTATTTCGTAGGGGTAATATTGGAATTTGATTGGAGATTTCCAAGGAATTTATTAAACATAGTTATTCATATAAAGTACCATTTGAAAGTACATCTTATTATGTATATAAGGAGATAAAAATAAATAAGTGGCCAATTTTTTTCTTGGAAAATAAATAGTACTGTACATCTGATGTCCTAGATTTTAATTAAGCCTTTGACAAGGTTTCATACATGGGTTTAATTTACAAATCAAAAGATACTTTCCCATCATCTAATTGATTCTGATGATGGTTGAAGAGGTATTATCACTAACGGTTCCAAATCTGCTCGAGTCACATTCACCACAAGAAAAGATCAGTGGCCTCCAATTTTTCTCAACTAATCTTTGAACCTTAAATTATTAGAAGGCCGAAAAATACCTGAAATATGGTTGAAGAGGTATAAACAGTGAATAACTCACGCCAACCCATTAGCTTATATACCTTTGTAATTTTTTTTGTCAGTTTTAAAAATATGAGTTCGTGTAGACAATGCGCTAGTTCAGTGTGATGTCATTTTGGTTCCACTGACATTTAATTCTAACCAAACTTTTAACAAAAACATCCAATAAATTTGACATATACGTTTTTACTGTTTTAAGTATATTTGTAAATATTGTTTACAGGTCATAACAAATAGTTTAAAGGTATGTAATTTGTAACTAAACGATTGTATATTTGATGCATGTTATCTACTTACTTTAGGAATATATTTATAATAGTGAAAAAGCGATATAATTTAGGTAAAAAAACGAACAAAACGCATTCAAAAAATCTACTGTCACTTTAATTGCAACCATAATTACATCATCACTGAACTAGCGCATTACCCCATTTGATATTCAAATAAATCATAACTTAAAGGTAATTTTATTCTCCATACGTTGATATTGGGTTGCCTAAGAAAAATTTGACCCAATGTACGGTTGCCGCAATTTGAAAAATATATTTTCGATGTGACAGAAAAGGGGCGCGCGCGTGTTAATACATGCGACAGACAAGGGTGCGAGTCGTAATGAAGGAACGTAGGATCAGGATATTATTAAGATTTATTGGTTTTTATATCATTTATTTTTAATAAAAATGAGCCGTTTATTTTAAAAGTGGCGTAAGTCAATTTATAATATCTAAATTGAGATAACAAGAATTTGTGTAAATTTTGTTTAACTGCATTAATTAAACGTACTGATTATTCAACTAATGCAATTGTCCAAAAACTGAGGTTAACTTGTTAAACACTAATTAAAATTACCTTCGTCACTGCCTTCGGACATTATCGATAATGAATATCTTCATTTAAGTATAAATGGACTTAGGCTCAAATAATAGATGGGGTAGAACTTTCTAATGCCTAATCTTAGACTACGGCTAACAGGTAAAATTTATACAAATTAAAATTTTGAGTCAGTTATTTCGAAAACTTTTGGAATCCAAAATATAATCAAGTAAAAATTTTTGATTGTCAATACTGCATATTTTTAGTCTTAAACATGCTTCATTTGAGCTTTACATTGATTGCCTTGCACCTTGGATTGTATCTACTACATAATTATTTAAAATAAACATTTTATATCCCAAAAAAATTATATAAGTAACTGAATGGCTTTCTTATGGTTCTTTAAGCACCATTCTACACTAACTTTAGTTCCTCTATCACCAACAAATAGAAAAAAAAATACAAAACATCATTAGGAATACCTAAAAACGTTTTGTATTTTTTATATTGATAATTACAGCCTAGTTCCATATAAAAATAAAGGTATCAATTCCCAAAGACGTAGTATATGATACTTCTTATATAACACCAGTTTAAAAATCAAACACAATAATCTATAAATGGCAAAAAGAAACAAACAAGACACAAAGTAACAATATCGGATAATTCGAAAAAATAATACAGACCTTAAATAATTTGGAAGACCATAATTGTAATTTTTAATACAACTTGATGAGATATACAAATAAAACATTCACTAAATATGTTAAGCGGTCCATATTATTCTTTTAAATTAACATATAGATGTACTATATCAGTTTGATGGTTGCAGTAACCTAACCGGGAAGGTTTGCTTAAACAAGGATATCTAAAATGTTTTTGTTATTTATTATTTTTCTAATTTGCGTCTCGAATCTAACATTTCCTTTTAATTCAACATATTCTACTCCAAAACAATGATTCTGACAGTAATCTTAAGTGAAACTTACAAAATGTCACGTTGGACGTCAAAAATGCTTCGCCGACTGGTTAAATAATGTGTTTTCTAAATTATTCCTTGTTTAAAACAATGATTCTGATGATAATCTTAAGTGACACTTTAAAAACGTCATCTAGGATTCACGTTGGGCGCCAAAAATGTTACGCCAACTATTAAGTTAAATGTATTTTCTAAATTATTCCTTGTTTAAGAAAACACTCCCTGGATGAGGACCTGCTTCGATATCACTACTAATATAGCGCATAAGAAAAACAGACACGTCCAAAAATATTAATTTAGCTACTTACTAAATAAGTAACCGATTCATATGTTTTGGTGTATAGTTATCGTAGGTTCCTACGCAAAAATTGAGATGATCACAATTTCTTAAAAAACCTCTTCGAGTACAACTTACAATAAACAAAAAAAAAACAGAATGATCAAACAAACTAGTTTGCACAGAATTACGCAAGAAATTATCATATATAAAAAAATGAATTGAGGTAGATCAAAACTTAAGGGTAAAACGTGACGGTATTATTTGATTTAACTACTACGTGTACAAAATCACTATAAGAATTGCTTTTATTTAACTATATCTAACCCAATTTTAAACTTTATCGTTTAAAAACTATTATCATTAACGGTTGTAACGATATATATAAAAATGGGCGTTAATAGTACTAATTCTTTAATAAACCTTGTTATGTTTCCTCAGACTCACTTTTAAACTGGAATTATTGAACACATTTATCCCAGTAGACTCATGAGTAATGGAAGCTGGAAACATAGAAGATAACAATACTAGTCTGCATCATATCAGGTTTCTATACAAATGTCTGGAGGAACATATTATGGTCGACGAAGTATTCTTTTAATATGGTTGCATAATGCTAGGAGTGATATTACCTTTCGTTTTTACTGAAAAAATGGAAGGCGACAATCGAAGTGTCCAAGGAAATGGCAGATGCAAAAACTTCAACATTACAAGTCATTAAGTCACAATAACATGGTCATTATTTAGAAAGAAGGCATTACTCCAGAATAAAGACCTAGGAAAATTATTATAAACTAAAAATGTAACCAAGGTGTAAATGAAGAAGAAAAAATGAAAGGTAAAGTTTACATTTTTTTCTAGCATTGTTTTCTGAAGTAAAGTGGTCGTTCGACTAATTTGACTGATAGAGATTGTATATTTTGCCTAACAACTGTCATAAGCTAGAACTTAATGTGACACAAATACATGAAATCCAAGGGAGATGTAAAGCAAAATTTAACAGGACAAACATGTTCTGTAAGGATAAAAAAGTACTCTTATGTTTTACCGTCAGAGATTTAGGTTTACTATAGAATTAGTACTTAAGTGTTATGGCTAGTTCATAATATAAATCAAACTGTTAAATAACGAAAATTTCTCATTCTATGCAAACGAAAACACTCAAACAGTTCTAGTTAGTTATAAAAAGAAATAATTTAAATATATACATATAGGAAATGTTCACCGTACTTTTTTTTTCGTCTAAAAAATTGAGCGCTTAAGTATTTTCAAGTCTTTTGGGAAGACCAAAGGTGTATATTTTTGTTTTAAATGCATTTTAATAACGAACAATGCATTATGTTAAATAAACAAAATAATAAAAATAAATAAAGAATCAAGGAATATCAACCAATTAGGAACAAACCAAATCGGGAACAAAACGGTTCATATAAATAAATAAAAACGAAATAGTATATAAAAAAAAGTTAAAATTTGCTAATTAAACATTTTACCTATCGAAATATATTAATTCTAGAATTGACTAGAATTTAACTAGCACAAAATACGAGGGGCTTCAGTTTTTCGAAATATTAATTTAATCTATCTGAAGATGGTATACAGGGTGGCGAAAATGTAATTAAAGATCAAGCATAGAAAGATGGTTGATTAAAAAAAAATTAACGAATTTATTGGTTCTTTCAAAATTAAAATATCAGGTTGTAATTTTCGTTTTATTAAATTAAAATCTTTGTTTTAAAAGATAGAAACAAACTTTATTTCGTTTTTATACCTATAACATAGCGAAGCCAAATTTTTATTGTAACGGTTAGAACCGTTATTTCGACACACCCACTTTCGCCTCTTCTTCCTTGATTCGTATTGTGAGAATTATTTTTGACCTGGATGTCAACGAATCAACTTGATTTGAATTTCAATATATCTTGTCCATCCGATGTACTAAATGATTTTAATCTATCGTAAAATCCGTCTGATTTTATAAGCATGGCTATATCTAGACGGTTTTGAATTTCTCTCAAGACGTTTTTGAATTCCTATCAAGAAGTTTTATGGATTTTATACCTAGAAGTTTGTTTTGGTTTTGGTACAATCTGAAGACCGTGGTTTGATTCATCTCTAGAAGATCTAGACAGTTTCGAGTTTAAGTTAGAATACCAAATATCACGAGATCTTTCAAGTTGCAGAATTACGAATAAGGATCCCGAATCCCTTTGAAGAAGTTGCCTGAAGATATACCATGCAATAAAACATTCCTTATATTACCTCGTTTTAACAAAAGATAAGTGCAATTGAATAAATCATCTTAAATTTGAATTTAGTAAAACTATGTGAATTAGAATTTGCTACCTTGAAGTCAAGTATAGTAAGCTTTAAATATAGTGGTGCCCAACTTCTTTTTCAAAGTTATTCGTGTTATTTAATAACCTAACCCAAGCCCAATCAATTAAGCTCAAACACATTATACAAGTAGATAGAATAACTAGAGATCACGTTACAAACGACGTTCATAATTTTTTTAATACAAACCTGTACTTTTTTCTCTATTCAACCACGTATCATACTAATTTTTGAATTTAGATTTGACAATGAACTGTACTTAACGTTCCTGTTCATTTTCATTGTGAAAGATGGTTGTAGACTACAAAATACTTTAAGAGTTAGTTAATTTTTAAATAATAGATTTCAAATGAGATTGTTAAGAGCTAATGGATACAGAGAATGGTCTCCAAATTTGATATTTATTGGAATTTTCTTAAAGATTGACGAAATTTCTGATATTGTGCAGATTTGAAACAAGACTCTAAAACGCATTTAATAATATTACACCTGAATTATAAAATCTCTTGAATAGAGGACATTAATTCAAAATGACTTATACAAATTATAATTTCTAGCTACAGATCGACAGGAATAACATGTTAAAGGGGTGTTTTCACCCCAGAATTGTTGGGACACTATACCTGGTAAAACAATAAATAAATACAAATAGTTTTTTAGTTTGCTAGCTCTCTGTTAGTTCGGAGAATGAGATGAGTATAAAAGTATCCAATTAAATTATATTTTAAAATATTCAACCATTATTAAATTACCAGTTAGTTTAATTAAATGACACTACAATGTACATAAATGTGTTACCCCCAATTGGTACCAAATAAATAATGTCTAGCTACAGATTGACAGGAATAACAATACCACGTTACCCAATTTATTAGTATGTAGTTTTGCTTACTTTCCCGATTAACAAGAATGTTTTATCAAATAAATCAACCTCTTTGTTCAAACTACCGATTTCTAATTTTTTAATTTAATTTAAAACATTTATTTACCTTTTTTTAATTTAATAATACATTATAAACGTAATATAGTAATATAAAAGACACAAACGGGCCTGTGTGGGCCATTATGTTAAAGATAATACTAAATATAGCAGCCCTCACTCCTTGCCTGTGCGGCATTATCAATTGTTTTGTAGTCAGTAATTGTACAGAGACAGAGTTTATGTTCATGTTTTGGTTTTTGCCACCTGAAAAAAAGCTAGGAAAAACAGGGTTGTATTTGATACTTCCTGGTACTACAGGTAGTCTTTTGTTATTGTCACAATTCAGTGAACGCTGGGCCACCCCGTCCAAGCCACATTTTTTTATTATTTAAAAATTCTTTATTCATTTTTAAGTATCATTCGCTGGTTCATCCTCGACCTCATCGGAGACCTGATGGAAATTCCTGCCTTGATCCACTTATATTACTGCTGTTTTTAATTTAATCAAGCTAATAATTTGTCACATCCTTATCCTTTAAGATATCAATAATTATAATGTATTTTACCATCCGACTAGAGTTGATAACTACTAGTCTTAGTAAATTAAATCTTTAGCAAACAAATTGCAGTTGTGGAAGATGTTGCTGCATTTGTCCTGATTTTCATGTCGTATCTGTCTCCTTTCTATCTCTTTCATGTACATGCATACCTGAAACCTTTCTAACATGTTTTTTTTTTTTGCCTTTTCTGACATGCAATGCATGAATTATTTTATAGGATTCATGCATTCCTGCTTGTGCAGGTCTGTGGATCTTGTGTAGACACTTATTTTGTGCTCTATGCAATGACTAAAAGGGCCATTGAACAGTAGACTCGGCATCCATATGTTAGAATTGGCCCCAGAACTTGTTTATACAGAATAATTTTATATTTCATCTGATTCCTTCTGCGTACATTTCAAAACAAAATGCATAATTTCACCAGCTTGTGCATTCATAACGCGATTTTTAGGATACTTATATTTGAAGTCTCAAAATACACACAACTGCGACAATAATGTATTAAGATACAAGTAACCACTTCAAAAACCAGTAACGATCTGAGCTCCGCTCAACAGTTTTTTATTTTCTGATTGTAGTTATTTTAATAATTAATAGTTCAACACCTTACGTTTTTTATTCAAAAATATTTACATATTTATAGTTTGGTTTCGCTAAGTTAAGGTAGTATTTGACTTATATCTCTCAAAATAAAGGTTTTTATTAAATAAAACGAAAATGACCACTATAGGTTTGGCCCAATATTTCAAAAACCGAAACTGATATTTTAATTTTAAAAGAATCAATAAATTAATCTTGAAAATATTCCCTTTAACCAATTTTGTATATATAAGGGTTAATAAAATCCACATAGTAAACTAAATTTTCGCTACACTATATATCACGGGTTGCTTAGTGTCGCGTAGTTCCAGAAACTACATCCTCTTTAAAAAACAAATCTGAATTATCTCTAAACAGCACGTTAGCATGTCTAGGTCCATATGTATGTCAGTTTTCTGGTCGAAAATCTTAAATATTTGGCATCGTTGCACAACTCTATACGTTTCTGTCCAGCATTTGCCTTTCTTCAGATTTGGGAGGGAATACACTAGACTTATCAACAATAAAATTGTAAAAGTATTTGGAAAATACAATATTGTAATCACCCATCTTACACTTTAGTGGTGTCAACACAGCTTGACTCTAGATTAACCTTTTCGACTCTTTGAACGCAGAAAATAGGAAAGAAAAATCGCATTTTCAGATAAAACTTCTCACACGATTATAATTCATGAATCAATTACAAGCTAAGAGCCAATTTTGCATCAAATTTGTGGCCGTGATTACGGTTGTCTGGTGGAGATTCTTAGAGGAAAGTATAAATCCTACGAAACAATGTAGGGATCTTCCCATCTGCTACAAGCTACAAACTTCAATACAATAATTGAAATATAAAGGAATAATCAAACTACAGTTACAGAATGCCTCTCCCATAGCTAATAAGAAACTCGTTTTGAGTTTTTTGCTTTTCCGTTTCTTTGGGAAAGTCGCCGAATTTGGATTTTTATTTCTTGCAATCAAAAATACTCTAAATAAATGTTTTTGTATTGTCGAATAATTTAACGAAAATAAATTCAATCCGAATATATTAAAAATAGTTTCTCTAGTATAAATTTATTTTGATTTTTGTTTTTGGATTTTAGAATTTAAAAAAAGTTTAAAACCAAATATATCTTCATTATGATTTTGATATCTCCTATGTGACAATTTTAAGTAAATTTAAGATTTTAGAATTCTAAAGTTGGCCTTTTCTATATCTATCCAATATAAATGTATATAAAATTCTAGATACCTATTACAAAATAATTCAATAAATTTTTCGACTGCAGGTTGTTCGTAAAACCCTGTTTAATACAATTATGCTATAAATTCGGCACATAGGAGGTATTAATATGAAACGACAGTATTCGAAACTCCACACGCTCTATCTCCAAAGAAATGTATCACACAAAAAAATATATCAATTTTGTAGGTATTTCATGAACAACTTTTATATAATACAAATTTTGTATGAAACAATTTCTCTTAGGAAAAATCAATACGCTAAGGGGAAAAATTTCGAAAATTTGGTTTAAAGCATCTTCTTGAATTAAAATCGCGTGACAAGTTTTTTCGGAAAAATAACCTATTTTTATTGAATTATCTGCTTAAATGTCAATATGCCCAGCTCAACAATACGTCAATCAGGAAAAAAATCACTGGTACCTGACGGAATCCCAAAAAATCAGTGTGCTAACGTCGAAGCCCTCGCAAATTTCAAATCTTAGATTAAAATAATGGTTTAAAGAAAGAAAAAAAAAACTTAACTGATATGTTTCGTTTTCTTTTGATCACCAACTACAACTGTACACTTACACAACCAACGAACCTCAATTTTTCACATTTTTGTATGGTTCAAAAAATTTCTTTAAAGCTTAAAAACAATCCTTAAAAATATTTACATATCTCCTGAATAGGTATCAAACAAAACATAAAATATATTACATTTAGTTCCAACAAATAGAATATAGAATTTTTCTTCTTTTAAATTGGTAATATTGAAATTGTCTACTTAGCCGTATTATCGATTACCTGTTCTGGTTGATGTCTATGTCTCGTCGGTGATTTCCCCATTCGTCTCCGTTTTTGTGAGCGCCGTTTTTGACGGTCTTCTTTTTCCGCAACAGCCGCGGCTTGAAGTGAGCCACTCTCTCTGCCGATTCGTTCTTGTTGATGTCGTATCGCTGATGCAGTCTTGTCCGTTTGGCGTAGTCCTCGGTCTCGCTGGTCGAATTGGGCCTTTTCCTTAACGTGATGCCGGCCAGGTTAAGTAGCGTTTCGGCGCCTTCCTTTATCCTGCGGTCTTCGTCGTCTTCGAAGTCTAGTTTACGACAGGTACGGGTTTTTGGTATTCTGTAACAAAAATTTAACTTAAACCTAGAATTAAATATTGTAAACTTTGATTACCTGTTATCACCATCCTCGGGAACGCCGTTTTCGCTATCAGCAGCGCTGTAAGTATGGTCCTGACTAGGCGAATTCGTAATGACTTGTAAGAAATCGGTAGCATGACATTCCAAATTTTTCGGTTGGCTATTCTTGAGGCTCAACATCACGGCCGCTGCATCGACCGCATCTAAGGAATCCTCCATCTTTATCCTGGTGTCGTCCACCTTGTACCTCACCTCCTCCATCTTGATTCGGGGAGTGTACGCGGTGTGGCCGTTCATTTCCGTCGAGGCTAATTTTTTGGCTAGGTACGGGAACAGATCCGGATTGGGAAGACGGTATATCGAGGGTCGGTCGTTTGCCGGCGGTTTTTCCATCTGATAGGAGGATTCTAAGGTTGATACGGGATGGAAGGGGGAACGATTGAGCGCTTGGATTAGATTCGGTTTGTACTGAGGGTCGACCGTCCACAAGGAACCCTTGCCCAAGTTCTGCAAACAATTTGTTTTATCAATTAACATGTTAATATTGGATGCAGTAAATTTTAAATCTAGATTTTTATCTATGGCCGCCAAATTAATTGGACAATACGCTGTGTGATTTTTATGAATGAGCGTTACGATCACCTATGACAGGGTAATCGTGCCACATAAAAAAATTAAAAAATTCAAAATTTTGAGAAAAAAGTTAAAATTTTGAGAAAATAAAAACATTTCAAGAAAATAAGTTTACAATTTTGGGAAAATAAAGTCAAAATTTTGGGAAAATAAGGTCAAAATTTTGAGAAAAAAGTAAAAAAAAACATAAGGAAGGATCTAACATTACTTCAGTGTTTTGTGGTCACATTTAAGAAACATAAAAGACTATGAATAAATAAACATAATACAAAACCATTTCACTCGGTTCAAACGAACTCTTATAATTTATTTATATGTATACTGAATGTTCATTGATAGTGATATGAACCAAATAAAGATAATATGACAGGCTGTTTATTAAAAGAATTTTTAAAAATGCGAAACATATATAATAATAATAGCCTTTATTGCCCAACAGATATAAATCCCTTTACAGAGCAACCTAATAAATTATTAACAATATAAGTAGTAAAGGTGACATAATAAATAAAGAATTATAAAATAAAAAGTATCATATAAAAAACTGAAAATAAAAAATCAATAAAAATAATAAAAAAAATAGAATATAATAAAAAACTCAAGCATTGAAGAATTACAGTACATGTTAAAGTTATTACACATGACATTGAGAGGTGAGCCTAATAGAATATTTGTTCTAGATCTATTACAGTAAAAAGTTAAGTGAGTTCTGTTATTATACTGTGGAACGTTTAAATGAATTTTAGCCAAGATAGCAGGACAGTCAATTAACCCATTCATGATTTTATGTAAACAAGTCAATGAAGCTAGAATTCTCCGAAACGCAAGACTTTCCATGTTAAAACTGTCCAAAAGTAGCTGATAATCAATTCCTCTTGGCGGGTAGACACCATTTACTTTGAATGATAAGTATTTCAAAATCTTCCTTTGAACAGATTCAACACTAGTTATATGAACATTATAATAAGGATGCCAGATAGCTGAACAGTACTAAAGCTTAGTGCAGATGTATGAATAATATAAAGTATTCAATGCTCCAATGTCCTTGAACCCACGACAGTTTCGTATAACAAAACCATACTTTTTTTGCGTCAGAAATCTTCATAATATATCTAGGTTACATCTTAAAGTCATCTGCATAAATGAGTCTACAAGAGTTTAAACGGTGATCGAGATCATTGATAAATAACAAAAATAGCAATGGTCCAAGGTTAGAACCTTGAGGGACGCCTGATTTTGCAAAGTACACCTGTGACGAATGACCGTTATGAAAGACAAACTGCTGCCTTTCCAGAAGGTATGACATACAGAACCTTCTCAAGGTCTGCGAAAAGCCAAGTTGGTTCAATTTATCAATCAATATCCCATGATCCATTCTGTCAAAAACCTTTGAGAAATAAGTGTAAATAACGTCCACTTGCCTACCTGCATTAACCGCTTCAGATAAGTTATTACAGTAAATTACTTTCTGTAGACTTTTTGTTTAAAAAACCATGCTGCGAAGGCGATATTAGTTTGCGGACTGAAGAATATTTGTGATTATAAATGACAATCTTAAAGACTTTCGATAGATTTGACAGAATAGATACAAGCCGACAGTTTTTGATTTGTGTCTTTATCACCTGATTTAAAAACAGGAATAATTCTTACCTCTTTCCACCGCTTTGGGAAGCTCTCTGATTTTAATGCTAAATTAAATATTATGTTTAATGGAGAGGCTAGTACATAAATACAGTCTAACAAAAAATGAGGGGATGTCATCAGAGCCAGAGATCATTTTATTGCTTAATTTTTTACTGGCTTGTACGATGTCCAAATCGGTGATATTGCCAATTTTAATGATATCACCATAGAATTGTGATTCAAATAAACTAGCCGTGTCCTGCTGTGGCTCAGATGATGTTACAAAAACACTTTCAAACATTGTTTAAATCAAAGAGTACAGCAAAGACAGACTCAAAGATCACACCTCATCCCAAGTCATAAAATCAAAGAAGCTGGAGAAAGGATAAATATCAAAATTGAAAATCAAAGAATGAATCAATTATTTTTTATCCATATTGATATTTTTAAGTGTGACAGGTGACCATAAAACATTTACTACAAGTGACAGCAGAACCTTCGTTTTTAACCTGTTCTCTCAAAATTTTAACTTTTTTTTTTCTAACAATTTTGACTTTGTTTTCTCAAAATTTTGACTTTTTCCCCAAATTTCCCAAGTTTTTCTGAAAATTTGTTTGCGGCATGAATACGCCATGTTACTCACCAGACATTATACCGTGTAATTTTTATTTCTGTCCACTGCATTAGTGTGACGCATGTGATTTTTCTTTTTGGCAGCCACATTCACCGGAAATTATATCATGAGATTTTTATTATAGACACCTATATTAACGGACATTACACCGTGTGATTTTTATCTATGATGGCCAAATTCATAGAAGATTACACTGTGTGATTTTTATAAAAGGCCACCGCGTTCACAGGACATTATACAGTGTGATTTTTATTTATGGTCGCCTAGTTCACCGGACATTACAGCTTGTGATTTTTTTTTAATATAGCCGCCAATGTCACCAGACATTACATTTTATTTATGGCCACTATGTTTACTGATCATTACATCATGCTATTACTTTCCTATACTTACAAATGATGACAAATTAACACCCTTAGAAAAAGTAAATTATATCAATGACTATTTTATTAATGTAAATAAAAATAATATTGTACCTAACTATACTATGAGTATTGATAAACATCATAAAAGTTTTTTCTTTTTCTAACAACTCCTAGTGAAATCATCACTATAATCAAAAAAACTACTTCTAAACCCACTGAAGGTATTGACGAAATAAATGGTAAAATTCTGTTATCGGGGTTGCTCATTGTATTGCTGAACCCATATCACATTTGATTAATGAATCCTTTGTTTCGGGATTATTCCCAAATATGAAGGAATCTAAAGGAATTCCTGTTTATAAAAATAAGGAATCTGCATCTAATATAGAAAATTATCGTTTAATCTGTATATCTAGTCAAATAACTAAAATATTTGAGTCAGCATACTTTATTAGACTCACTAATTACCTTGAAAGTTTTAATATGTTTCCAGATACTCAAAATGGAGTTAGAAAAAATAAGTCAACATCTACTGCAATTGCAGCTTGCCGAGAGTTTATATATCAAGCACTCAATGATAAAAAACATATTTTGGGACTCTTCTATGACCTTAGCTGTGCATTTGATATGGTGGATCATAATCTTTTATTATTGAAGATGAATGGGTTAGGAATACGAGGGAAACCTTATGAAAAGATACAGTCTATAAATCGAACTCAAGTAATTGGAACAAATAGTCTAAAATCTGATCCTCTTCCCCAAGGTTCAATTTTGGGCCTACTTCTTTTTATAGTTTTTATAAGTGATATAAGTAATTTTTGTTTAAGCTCTCAACAAATAGTTCAATATGCCGATGATATCAATATTGTAATGGCAGATGATCTAATTGAACAGGTCACTCAAAGTAGCAACGAGGCATCTCGTGAGTTTAACCAGTATTGTAAAGATAACGGTCTGGCATTAAATGTAACAAAAACAAACTTCATGCAATTCCTACCCAAAAACATATTACCAGATTACGAACCCTACTTGCACGTTGACGGAAAAACTATTCAAAGCGTTGATGACATAAAATTTTTAGGAATAATATTAGATCCCAAATTAAATTGGGAAGCTCATATAAAAATGGTAACTTCAAAATTAAGTACTTGTTGTTATATCATCAAAAATTTAAGGGAGACAATATCTTTTAATACTTACAACTATGCTATTTTGGTTTGGTTCATTCATCTCTACAATATGGGTTAATATTTTGGGGTTCTTCACCATACTTTGAAAGAGCTTTTGTATCTCAAAAGAAGATTCTGAGAGCCATGTATAAGATGACACCAACAACATCATGTAAAGAACTTTTCAAGAAAACGCAAATTTTAACACTACCTTCACTTTTTATTTTTCAACTAATTTTATACATAAAAGATAATGAGCATATATTTAAGAAAAATAAAGACCTGCACTCATGTGATACTAGATTAAAATTTAACATCCATTCAACCTTTTTCACGACCACAAATAAGGCAGCATTCACCAAAATATACAGGGTGAGTTGGGAGGAGCGCACCAAACTCTAGGAGTATATTATACACGTGAAAATAATGTAAAAAAACTCATGTTCCTATCCGATTTTCATTTGTTTTCAAGTTATGGCGTAATTAAAAATGTTCATCTAGCTTTCCACTTCTGAATTTTAACATTATCAAAGTATGCCATATGTTCAAGGCTCAAAGGCATTTGATAATTCTGACGTTTTGATGAACTGTCAGTGTACAGTGAACAGTAACTGAACGTTTACTTTCGAATTTATGTGATTGTTAGTGTTGCAAAATGCCAGATACTTATTCAAATTTAGAATATGCAAATATGGTGTTTGTTTTATGTGTAAATTTGTTTATTTGTTAATATGCTATAACTTGAAAACAAATGAAAATCGGATAAGAACATATGAGTTTTTTTACATTATTTTCACGTGTATAATATACTCCTAGAGTTTGGTGCGCTCCTCCCGACTCACCCTGTATTGGGATTAAGTGTTACAATAAGTTCAGTGACATATTAGAAGATACTACAGGTTATCATCAAATTAGTCGTAATGATTTAAGAAAACATCCTAATGATTTTCTTGTAAATAATGTATTTATTATAGAGTATAGAAGATTTTTTGAACTTTTAAACTAATCTTAACATGAATTGTCTATTATATATATTTTATTTTTTAATGTATTTTACTTAACACTTTTTTGACTAGTCTGACA